GAAAAGGTGATCTTCTCCAACTCTTTGCTGAAATTGATGTCCTGAGGAGCGTCGAAGCCCGACTTCCAAGACTCCCTCCTCCTCCTCCTCCTCCTCCTCCTCCTCCTCCTCTTCCTCCTCCTCCTCCTCCCCCACCCCTTCCCCCTCCCCCATCCTCCTCCCCCTCCTCCGCCTCCTCCGCGACATCATCCCCTTCTTGGGTATTAAAACCGTCAGCGGTTTTTCGTTTCCGACCCCCTCCTCCTCCTCCTCCTCCTCCTCCTCCTCCTCCTCCTCAGATCCCCCTTCCTCTTCTCTCCCCCCTCCTTGAAGCCCGCGGCGAAGGCCAGCATCAACTCTGGCACCTCGAGCTTCGAGTCGTTGATGGTAACGCCATCCCTCTTAGCGTTCTCGGCCCTCTTGGCCTTCGTGTGCTTGAAGGCGGCGGCGAGAAACTCCTGGTAGATCATCCGCATCGACATCGGGGCATCAGTATCGTACTTGTCAAAGAACGCAGCGACCGCCTTCTTGGTGTCAAAGGTGTCATCGCCCTCCTTGGACGCACCCACCGATGCCAGAGCGTTCGTGTGCCTCTTCACCTGGAGATCGTTCTTGATGTTGAAGAGATCGGATTCGCTGGGCTCGTTCGCAGCCTTATCCTCCAGCGCGAGCTGCCCGCCCTTCTGCCTCCTGTCCTCATCTTTCGACAAAGGCGCCAGCTTTGCCGCGATGTCGTTGTGAGTGCGCCTGATGTTCAGCGCGAGGTCACCGCGCAGGTCCTTCCAGCACTCGGCGGCCTTGAACTGGGGATCGGGCGCCGTCTTGGTTACCATGAAGATCAATCCATTGTGGTAGGTGGTCTGCAGCACGGACGCTTTCACCAACTCGTCGGGGGCATCTCCGATGACGCCGGCCACGGTGTCATAGAGGTCCTCCAAAAATACCTTCTTGCGGGTGATGGTGGTCGCGCCCTCCCCGTCGTCGCCGCGGTGGTCGCCCTCGCCCTCGTCCTCGTTGCCATGCATCTCCTCTTCCTCCTCGGCCCCGAACTCCTCGGCCAGCCCACCCTCTTCGCACTCGCCAAGAATATCCGCCATGAGGTCAATTTGGGCGGACTCGTCCACGCTGATGTCGGCCGAGGGCTGCGACTCCTGCCCTGGTGAGTCGCTCTGCGGCTTCGCCCTCGGGCGCTTGCCCTTGCCCCTTCCTTTCTTGCCACCCTTGCCCTTGCCGCCCTTGCCGCTGGGCCCCTTGGTCTCCTCCTTTAGGAAGGCGCCAACTACACACCAACGCCGATCCTGGCCAGGATCACCCTGGGCCCAGGATCGGTGCATACGCCCTCCTGCCTTGGGCAGGAAAGCATATGCACCGATCATGGGCCCAGGGTGATCCTGGGCCAGGATCGATGTTGGTGTATAGTTGGTGCCCTCCGATCCTTGGGCTCCGGCTTCGCCTTCGGCTTCGCCTTCGGCTTCGGCTTAGCCTTCGGCTTGGCCTTGATAGCGAGCGAACCCTCCATCGGACAATTGAGGCGATGGATGACCATGTCCAGCTTCTCATCGTCGGTGATCAAGAACGTGTGATCGTCGTCGGGACAGTCGAAGCTCAGCACTTTCGGGGTGGCCATCTTGAACAGCTCCATCAGGATCAGCTTGAGGTGCCTGGGCGGAATGGTGGCCGAGAACTTTTTCGTGACATCGACGAGGATCCTGCGGAAATGGGCTAAGGTGGTTTCTGTGCACATCCTTGGGCTGCAGAAGTTTGCCTTCTCCGACATCTCCTTGGCGAACGACTCGTCCATGCCCAATTTCGCTAAGCCGCGCCGCACAACCTTGGCATTGAGGTAGCAATACCAGTTTTTGAAGCTGCCAGAAAAGTGTGTCTCTACATATTTCCAATACTGCTTCACGTACGTATTGTTTCCATTTTTGGGGCACGAGCGAGAAGTGATCTTACCTTTCGAGAATGCCCCCCAGGAAGCCTCCGCCGACTCAGTCTTCTGAATAACTTCCAAGAATGTCGTCGATGCTCCCCTGTGGAACTCGTTGTTGAGTTGTTTCAAATACAAGATGACGTCATCTGGAGTGTTCATATGGAAGGCCATGTAGTTGCTCACTCCGCTCTCCACGGACCTCTCGACAAATTGATTGCGAGTCTTCTTGCAGCGCTTGACAGCCTCGTAGAGCGCCTCGGTCAACGTGGCCGCAGACAACATGTCGAAATGCTCGACGTCAGTGTCGGAGGGCTTCTGGATTACCCAAGCTTGCCCGCGCACCCCCACGATACATCCCGTGTGCATGATTGACCGAACATACTGCTCACGCACAGCACCATGGTCCCGCTGGTTGAGCCGGTGACGAGTCAAAGCCTCGTTGTTATTCTCGTCGAAGAACTTGAGTCTCGGCTTGGTAGCTGGCACTTGGTAATCCTCGAAGACACGTTGCTGGAGTAGGTTGCCAGAGAGCCCCGGGTATCTCTGGCTGATGTGCGGACACGGCTGGAAGCGCTGGGCCGTCGCCCCCTGCGGGGCATCTGCTGGAATGGGAAGCCCATCCGTAGTCATCGCGGTTGACCGAGTATTATTTGGTATGTGTAGGTCTCTCGGCCGAAAATTACCCCCTCTTTCTCGCTTGCTCGCAAAAGGCTATGGAGCGGACCGCCCCTCCCCCGCGGTTGGGGTCAACGTGCGGAAGGGGGCCCCCACGTGCCCTTTTGGGGGCCTCACGGGAGCCTCTTGGGGCCTCCTTTTGGGGCCCTCTTGGGACTCTTGGGGCCTCTTGAAGACCTCTTGGGGCCTGCTGGGGGGCAAATGGGGATGCAAGAAAGGGGCAGGGGCATATGATAGGCATGCCTCCCTTGCTTTGTCTTTCTCCCCCTTACTCTGTCTTTCTCTGTCTCTGTCTCTGTCTCTGTCTCTGTCTCTGTCTCTGTCTCTGTCTCTGTCTCTCTCTCTCTCTCTCTCTCTCTCTCTCTTTCTTTATTTCTTTCTCTCTCTCTCTCTCTCTCTCTCTCTCTCTCTCTCTCTCTCTCTCCTCTCTCTCCTCTCTCTCTCTCTCTTCTCTCTCTCTCTCTCTTCTCTCTCTCTCTCTCTCTCTCTCTCTCTCTCTCTCTCTCTCTCTCTCTCTCTCTCTCTCTCTCTCTCTCTCTCTCTCTCTCTCTCTCTCTCTCTCTCTCTCTCTCTCTCTCTCTCTCTCTCTCTCTCTCTCTCTCTCTCTCTCTCTCTCTCTCTCTCTCTCTCTCTCTCTCCCTCTCTCTCTCTTTCTCACTCCCTATGATTCCTCTCTCCCCTCCCTCTATCTGTGTATTCACCTCTATATCTGAGTCTGATCGACTCTTCTCACCCTAAATGTGTGGATTCACATGTTCATGTGCACCTATGCGAATGTAGTATACAGCTATGATGTCGCAACGGGACACGCTGCAATGCAATGCGGAACGAGGCGCAACAACCTAACGAGAAACGCATCTGACTAAGATGCCCTCCATCAAATCAACTCGCATCCGCAATTGCGGGGCGCTACGTAGTTTTCATGTTTTCATCTCGCTCCACCGGCAACGTGGACGCACTTCAACTCTTCCAAACCGAGAGGCTTGCGACTTCAGCTGCAGCCCAGCCCGCTATTCATTAGCGGGCGCGTGCCATGAGAAGAGAGGAACTGGGCAAGCAAAGGACGCGGCCGAACAAAACATTATATTGCTTCGAGCGGTTCCCACCCGTTCTTTGTTCGTCGAGAGGGCGAGGCAAGGTCATCGGGACCACTGGGGGTCTGACGGCCGCGGTATGCAGGGTCGGCTGGCGGGGGAGGGGTCTTTTCTATCTGACAACCTAACATTCCTCGGGCCCGAGGGGGAGGGGGCCAGCCTACTTTTGCCCCCAACGCATTCAAGTTAAAGTTAGAGACCTAGACTGGGGAGGCAACTCCCCAGGGTTGCGGATCCGTCCCACCGAGGCCCGAGGGGGGGGATCTGGGCCAAAAACCAGCGTCAATATTTTTAAATATTTTGACGCTCGATTTTGGGCTGTTCACGGCCCTATCTATATGTTTGTTAACGGGCTTTCTTAGTGTGCGTGTAGATAGGGCCGTGAACAGCCCAAAATCGAGCGTCAAAATTTTTAAAAATATTGACGCTGGTTTTTGGCCCAGCCAGCCTACTTTTGCCCCAACGCATTCAAGTTAAAGTTAGAGACCTAGACTGGGGAGGCACCCCCAGGGTTGCGGATCCGTCCCACCGAGGCCCAGAGGGGGGGGATCTGGGCCAAAAACCAGCGTCAATATTTTTAAATATTTTGACGCTCGATTTTGGGCTGTTCACGGCCCTATCTACATGTTTGTTAACGGGCTTTCTTAGTGCGCGTGTAGATAGGGCCGGGAACAGCCCAAAATCGAGCGTCAAAATTTTTAAAAATATTGACGCTGGTTTTTGGCCCAGCCAGCCTACTTTTGCCCCCAACGCATTCAAGTTAAAGTTAGAGACCTAGACTGGGGAGGCAACCCCCCAGGGTTGCGGATCCGTCCCACCGAGGCCCGAGGGGGGGGATCTGGGCCAAAAACCAGCGTCAATATTTTTTAAAATTTTGACGCTCGATTTTGGGCTGTTCACGGCCCTATCTACATGTTTGTTAACGGGCTTTCTTAGTGTGCGTGGGAGGGGGAGGAGGAGGGTGGAGGGCGGGGGGGGGCGGCCGTTGACTGGGCGCAGCTCCGGTCACGCATCAGACGCCCGCGACGCGGGCCAATTCAAGGCTGAGCCGCGGATTCCCCGCGACCCCCGCCGAAACAAAACAACTAATTACTGAGGAGGAGGAGGAGGAGGGGGGCCCTGGCGCGCGGATCCTTCGCAAGTCGGAGGCGTTTTTAACAAAACGCTTCCGAATTCGAAGGAGGTCCCAGGGAGCTTGCGAAGCGAGGTCCCGAAAACCTCAACAAAACGACAGTAGGAGGAGGAGGAGGAGGAGGAGGAGGAGGAGGAGGAGGAGGAGGAGGAGGAGGAGGAGGAGGAGGACGAGGAGGCGGATGAGGAGGGGGAGGAGGAGGAGGAGGAGGAGGAGGAGGAGGAGGAGGAGGAGGATCCAGGATCGATCCCGGGCCCCTGTGCGTCAGGGCTTGGTCTTTTTCATCAGGCGGCGAGGGCGTTTCGCCTCGTTCTCCCCCTTCGGCGGTTCGAAGGTGGGGCCCCGAAGGGACCAGGGATGGGGCCCGAGTCGTTTTTTGACGGTCCTTGGTGGGCCCGTTGAGGGCCCCCAGAGACCGAAAACCGTCAAAAGCCAGGGCATTGGGTCCGTGGGTGGCTTGGGTGGGCCCCCATCGTCTTTGAGGCCCCATCCCGTGGGGTCCCAACTTCGAGCCCCCGATCCCTCCTCCGCCCTGCTGGGGCTCGGCGTTGGCGCCGCAGCCGCCGGGGCGGCGGAGCCCGCGCTGCCCGCCGCTGCCGCTGGAGCCGCGGAGCTGGCGGAGGCGCCACCGCGGCGATCCTGGGGCGGGCTCCCTCCACCTCCTCCCTCCTCCCTCATCCCTCCCTCCCCCCTCCCTCTACCTCCTCCCTCCCTCCCCCTGCCCAGGGGGCCCGGGGGTTCCTCTGGGCCCGTCTGGAGGGTCGCTGGGCGCAGCTGGGCCCTGGCCCGCCCTTCCCCTGGGCGGACGTCGCGGAGTCGAAGCAGTCGCCGCCCCGGCCCTGCAACTCTCTGCCAAAAGACCCGAGCCCGAGGGCCCAAAATACAATCCTCTACGGGAGGACACCTACCTACCTACCTACCTACCTCCCCCCTCCACCCTCCCCCCCCTCCCTCCTCTCCCTCCCCTCTCCTGCTCCCTCCTCCGAGCTCTGCCAGTCATGAGTCATGGTTCTAGCATCAAAAAACAAATCCTCCCTCCCCTCTCTTCCCCTTTGATGTATCTGCTATCCTCGCAGCATAGCAATGCCCACACCATGCCAGCCCCAATCATGTTGGTGTTCATCGCGTCCCCGCTCTGCTGGATGATTTTGGCCCTCGCTCTCTCTGGGAGCCTCCGTTCCCGGCGATTCACCCAGAAAGGACAATGCTCCATGGGGTAAGGTGCGAGCCTCTTGTACGCGGGAAATCCTTGGGCGAGCAAGCACTCGTAAGGCGTCATCCACCTCCAGTGAACCGGGCTGAACACTAGCGCGCTGTTGGCGATGACCGTGGGCAGGGATGTCGATGTACCCGCGTGCGGGTGCCGACACCACACTTGTTGCAACAAACATGGCTTGTCGTACCCATAGTGGTTCACGTAGCCATGGAGGTTGAGCAATTCATGAAATGAGAGCGATGCCACGTGGTCTGATTTAGAACGTAACCCTTTGAGATCTTCGAGCAGACTCACGCCATTCGCCTGGGAAAACTGCTTGGAGCTCTTCATCATCAGGGACGCGTTTTTGCTGCTGCTGCAGGCGGCTGTCACTAAGGCGGCATCGAGAGACTTGTTCCAAAGGCTCTCCCCACGGTTTCTCGCCCAGTCAAGCTCGCTGTTGATCTCTGCTTCAGAAGCCACAAATAAGCATCGCCAAGTGAAGGCCCCCAGGTGGCGAGTGAACTTCAGCGCAAGATCAGGCCACGGACTTGAGCATATCAGATCTTTGCGGACTCCGACGGCAATCTGGCGAACTCGGCGCTGCGGCCACCCGAGGCTCACCAGGTCCATCTCAGCTGTTTGGATCAAGTATATTTCGTCCAACGGTGCGAACATCAAAGCTGCGTTGAACTCCGGCACGTTTTCAGCAATCCAGACCTTGTCTCGCTTATGCCAACGTAGTCCGGTCCAGGCCATGGTGGCAGATTTAGTGCGTCCGTTCTCCTGCATTTGATCGCCTTGAGGAGACCAATCGATGCACGGGGGCCCGCCTACATGAATGTCTGATGACGGTATCGAACACAAATCATTATGCATGATGCACCTCGGCTTCATGTTCATGCCTCTGTTGCTCCTGATCAACGACGCATACTGCTCGATGGACAAGTCGCCGTTCCAGGCATTGGTGTCTGTCCAAAAATCGTTCATGTCACAGTAGACGTGATGCGGGGTCGGATCGCGAAGTTGTAGCTCGCGACGTCCCTCTCTGTCCCATTCCACGCAATAAAGATGCCGAAGACCGCGGCCTTCGCGCCCACCAGTGATGCCGTAATGCGCACATACTGCTCCTAGGATAGTCGATGCAGCTTGCTCTGGTGCCCCTATTCCACTGAAGCAGGTAGACATGGTACGAGATGCTAGACGATCCCTCAAACATTTCCAGACGTCGCCTTCTGCTAGACCAAGAGACGATGCCGTTGGCGCAATCGCGTGCTCGACCCACCTGAAGGCATCGTTCAATGAGTTCACTATCACAGTCGCTCCCTGGGCCATGGCGCGGCCCGCGCACGCGCCCGCTTCCCCCCCCCCCTCTCCCCTGGAAGCGTCAAGCGCCTGCAAGATGGATTGCATACAGAAGCGATGGGGGGTCCAAAAGAGGTGGGTGGCCTGGGCAGTGGGTTACGCGCGCGGCTGGGGCCCCATGAACGAG